AAAACTCAGGGGTGCAAAAAGCCCAATTCTCATTTATTGTGTAAGCCACAGAATATCTTCAAATCTGTATGCAAATATTTCTCAACTGTGAAAACCCACTACTACTTGTGAGTAACTGATGCTGATATGAAGAGGCTGTCAAGTGGTGACACATACACAGTGGCTATGACTTTTCCACATGTTCGCCTAAGCACCACTTGTTTGTCATATTTTTCTGCAATGTACATGTCCTTTGAATGTATTATGGCACTTGTAAATACTAACATTTCTTCCAGGGTCCTTGACAAAATTCCTCCAATTGGACTGAAAACCTTGGCAACATATTTTGACAGTGTATTCATATGCTTACTGTGTAAAGGACCATGTATTAATATTTATTTGCATTCTGTAAAAGCCATAGGTTTTGAATAATTTCATTAGATAGGAGGAATAAATCTTCAATTACTGTAATAACTTTTCAAAGAATGCTTTTTTCATTTTAGTACATTGTATTTTCTCTATTCTCCCTCTTAATCTATACTTTGAACACAAAGAATGCCCTCTATTTTACTCTATCAGAGGACACCAAACAGTCAAGGGCCTAGTTCCCTTCCTGGCCTTGCCTATACTACCTGTGTGACTTAGATTGATGAATCACCTAACCCTGCTGAGATTGGTTAGCCAACTCTGTCCTGACCCACCCATGTTTCCTCAGTGTTTACCACTGCCCCCTAAAGACTGCTTACTGTGAACATCTGTGAGTCTGGGACTGAAAGGTTCTGATTTTGAGAATATGTTCAGTTTATAAAAAGGAAGCCTGAAGTACCCTAGAGTTGTTATCTCTGGAGGCCAACTTCAACCAAAAAGGGATAGAGTTGCTGGTAGAAAAATATGCCAGCTTCTTTGCCTTTTGGTTGGGCTAACTGAGTTGTGTTTCACACCATTCTTCAGAGTTCTCCAGCAGAACTGAGCTCTAGTTACCAAATTGGAAAACGCCTTGCAAATACACTTTTTATTGGCTTTCTTCCATTCCCTGTCTCATTCCTCACTCCCTGTCAGTATTTCCTGAGATCAGCTCTCATATAAATTACTTGCAGTTGAATCTTGTCTTAGAGTAAGCTTCTGGGGGAATCTAATCAAAGTAGTTAAGTTTCTCTTGTGTAAAATTAAAACAATAATACCTGTCCACATGGGTATTGTGAAAATCAAATGAGATAATATATGTACAAATGCTTTGAAATTTGTGAAACACTAAATAAATTTACATGTTAATCATCATTTCACATTATTTAATCATTGTTGCTATTGTGTTTTTCACACTTTAATTCAAGAATATCAAATATTTGCAAAGGTAATTTTTTAGCTATGAGCTAAAGAGAAATATCTGAAAGTATAACATAAGCTAGGAAGTTACTGACAAAGTGTAGAGGATTCGCACCATGGGATGAAGGGAACCTTTTGACTATTACTATAATACCACCCAACACCCACATAACTCTCTCCCCAAAATAACAAATGTCAAAGACAAAGGATTAGAAAAGAGACAACTGGTTTTTTCCTATTATCACTTACTTTTCTAGGGAAGAATATCCTTCCATCTTTTCTTTGTTTGGAAGGTGTCTTCTTATCTTATTATAAATTTACAGGGCAAGGATTGTATTTTTTTTTTTAAGGGACTATATTTAAATCTTTGTTTTGTAGAATGCTTTGAAAAGTTAATCATGTTATTCAAATATTCAGAGATAAGGCAAAATCATCTTACTGACCAAAAACAGACAAGTCAAGGACAGACAGAGGGGAGAGTTTAAGCAGCAGCAGTTTCATGTGGTAGTATCCACTCATTTCCCAAAAGGCATGTCGAATATTGAGGCAGTGAATTAAAGACAATTTAGCCCCAAGTGTCATCTCCCAAATAAAAGCAAATGTGTGGGAAATTTTTCAGGGGGAAAAATTTTCAAGCCAGAGGTTTTTTGTTGCTTGATACACTTTAACAACCTCACTCAGAAACCTGTCTAGAAAAAAAAAAAAAAATCTATGCATTGTGGATGCAAAATGAGGGAGGAGATGATAACTCAGATAAAGAACTGTGGTTGGTAATATATTTAATAGCCTAAAGAGATATGAAAGCTAATGCCAAAGCAATATATTCATGTTGCAGGTTCATGTAATTATATCTTGCTGACTAAATGAGTTTCATTAACTGAACGAAGAGCTGAGCACTTCACTTCAGTTTTATCACAATGTAATTTTTTTAGATATTAATCGATGGTGACCACATTTGCCCCAGAACTAAACACACCACAGTGCAAATTTAGTTTTAGCATGCGGTTGACTGCCGTACTGTAATAATGATCTTTTGTAATTATTAATGATTTTAGTAGAATTTAGCATATTCACAGCAGTTACAAGGATATTAATAGGTCTGTCTGTCATTAGAGTCACAACTTAGGTCCTGTCAAAATATTCTTCAGATGTTAAAACAGGCACATTGCTCACAATCTTGTGGCTCTCTAAATATTTTTACTCTTGTTTTTTCCTGGGAAGTTACAGTTAAGAAATTCCTCTATACTTGTTCCCACAAAGTCTTTTGCTAATCTTAATTCATATACTGACTGACTCTGTAATTCTTGGGTCTTAAAAAATTCTTATTGCATTTCTCATTTTTAAACCACATTTGGGCAGTCACATTTTTTTTTTCCTGTTCCCATAACTCTTAGCTGATGCTACTAGTACAGCACTTGTCATATTGGGTTATAGGTAGTTGCCAAAGTGGCTGTTGCCAGCATTAGACTGTGAGTTCCCTGAAGGCAGTAACCACCATTTCATTTTTGAATTCTTAGCACCTGTCATAGTTCCTGGCCTCTAGTCATTGCTCACTGAGTGTTTGGTGATTAAATCAAATAGACACAATGCAGTGTGTTGATATCTAATGTGTTTGCTGATTCACATGACACAAATTGTTCCTTATATTATACTTAAGTCTTTATTAAAAGCATGAAGCTTTTTTTTTGAAGAATGACTTTTTAAACCAGAAAAACATAATCACATTTGGGTTGAAAATAACTTAGTTCTCCGGTTTAATTATCTTTCAAAAGCTGTTTGCTGTCCAATGGCTTATAGATTTTAAACATTTTCTTTCTGAAGAATGGGATTTTGAAAGATTTCTAATTTTTTTAAAACAGAGTTTTATATTGCCAAGGAAAAGACATAATAAGTGAGACCCATCTTTCACCGGTGTGAAAATTCCTACTACATCATTTGTTCAATTTGAGCCACTGATTTTAAATAGAAAAAGAAATTGAATAAATGTTTTTAAAAATCCTAACTGTTGAAAAGTTCTGTAATATAATCTAAAATAAATACACTAACTTAACTTTTCCTTATAAAAAGGAAACTGGTAGGTTTAAAAACCATCTGCAGAATAAATATTTATGGAGCAGAATGACAACTTGACTTATCCAAAGCATTGGCATACATTTTCTTAGTGTTTGATGAAGTACTTCCACTTACAATTCTTCAGTGAGAAGTAGAAATGCTAGACAGACATTGGGGATCAGTTATATGTCGGGTGAGTCCAAAGTACAGAATCTTGTGCTCTGAACATTATTATAAATTCAAAAGTAATTTTATTAATTGAGAAGTTGATAACTTGTAATCTCTTCAAGCATTGTATATAAATATACAATAAACAATATTCTTTATGTGTTTCTATATGTGTTTCTACTTTATGTGTTTCTACTTTACCAAAAATTGTAGGTTCTTGAAGTTTTATTACTAAAGGATAATTATTACCTCAGATGTGGATAGAGAAAAAAATTTTTCACGATTCTTGCTTAGAAGCATAGGATACTTTCAACTCTTTCTCTACAGAAAGGACTCAAGATTACGACTCTGCAGAATTTCCCGTGGGATCTAACAAGAAGACTTGGATTTTTGCTTAACAGCGGACTAATATAATTCTATTTTCTAGTATCCTGAAGTGCAGGACTAAGAGGAAATAAAGCCCATAACACAGTGCCATTAAGGATGCATGGTAAAAGGAACATTTGTATATAACAATAAAAATGTTGAATTGCTATATTGTACACCTGAAATGAACATAACTAATGTAATACTGTATCTCAACTATATTCAAAATCAATAAATAAAATAAATAAATAAAAGTTTTCTTGGTAAAAAAATAAATATAACCATGTATAAGTTAATGATTACAATAAATGTTACACCAGTAATAATAATAATAATAATAAAACTAACATTTACTAAATGTGTAGTATGTACCAAGTAGCATTGTAAACACTTCCATGCATACATTTTTCCCCCACAGTGACCTTCTGAGGTTGATACTAGTATTAGCTTCATTTTACAGATGGGAAACTGAGACACAAAATTTTAGGTAACTTGCTCAAGTTCCTACAACTAGTATGGGATAGAATGGGTTAAAAACTGAAGCAGTTGGTGATTGCCATTATACTACGTAATAGTGAGCACTAGATGATAAGAGAGCTTTGATCTTTTTGCTTTGCATCTTGGTACTGCCCACCTTTCTCTTAATTGCTCCTCAAACTGTCATTCAATTCTATCTGCTTTGACTATGTTAGCTCTAGTTATGGGCCAAGCAAAATGATAATCGGCAACACCTGTAAAGTGCATCACAAAAACCAACAGAAATTATTGTCCGTCATTTTTTAATATTCTTTATATTTTAACTACCCCATTTCCATCCCTTAAAAATTAGTGAAAATATTCCCAGGCTATTAAAAAAAGTTTAATTGAGGTAAAAGGATTGCCCCAGGGGAGGAATAGGGAAGTACCCATACTCCAGTTGCTGTGAGTGTTGGTTACTAACAGCTGACCTCATCTTCTGAGAAGTGAAACTGCCTTGTTTGGAATGTTCTCCCACTGGGGCAGCCAGCAGCCAATGATTAACTGATAGAAGAAGTATAAAAGGTCACCCTTCCAGGCTTACCCCCCCTTGTTGCAAGGGTGGATTAAATTCTGGCACTTCAGAGCTTCCTGTGGAACGAGGCTCCCACGGTTTTCAGCTGAACACACATCCTTGCTTAGCTCCTTCTCTTGCCTGCTTCTACTTCCTTCCTTCCACTTTTCCTAAGAGCACTCCCTTAATAAATTATTTTCATAAGAATCTTTTTTTTAAGTTCTGCTTTTATGGAACTCAAGCCAAGATGGTTGGTACTGGAAGGGGACCTAGGAAGCAGAATCTAAGGTAGGATTCTGGAGGAAGATGGCAATGAGGCCCCTGTCACTGGTGGTAGGTACAGTATTGTTAGTCCCTGACATTCCATAGCAGTGTGATTGTTAAGATTACAACTCAGCAAACTATGGCTTGTGGGACAAAGTCAGCTCACTGTTTTTTGTAAATAAAGTTTTATTTGAACACGTTCATTTATGTATTGTCAGAGCTGAGTATTTGAGACAGATACCGAATGGCTTGCAAAGCCTAAAATATTTACTATCTTATCCTTTACAAAAAATGTTTGCCAACAGCAGGCTATGTTTACTCATGATGGTAAACTGGGTTGAGATGTGGATAGAAAGTGATACCTTAGCTAGTGCAATGTCTCTAGTTTTGGGAGTTGAAGGAAATTGGAACTATAAGGACTATGGATTTGGGTGATTAAAATTAAGTATCTTTGATGTATTGAAGAGAGCAAACGACATGCATTATTCATACTGAAGTTATTGAATTATCACAAACTTAGCAGCTAAAAAAACCATATACCTACTATCTCCCTGTTTCTATGGGTCAGGAGTCTGGGATGGCAAAACCAGGTCCTCTGATATACAGTCTTTTAGAGGGCTACAATTTGGGTGTCACCCAGGACTGGACTCTCATCGTAAGACTTGACTGAGAAAGTGTCCACTTTCAAGCTCATGTGATCGTTGACAGGATTCAGTTCCTTGTGAGCGGTTGCCTAATGGTCACCCTCAGTTCCTTGCCACATGGTCCTCTCTCCGAAATGGCAGATTAATACCTCAAAACTGACAAGAGATAGGATGTGGTTCCATAGTGTAGCAATTAGCACGTCTGCTTTACGCACAGAAGGTCCTGGGTTCACGTCCCAGTGGAGCCACAGTCCATGGTCTATGGCCATGCCACTCTGAATAAGGCTGATATCTGACCTGAGAAGCTAAGCAGGGTCAGGCCTGCTTAGTACTTGGATGGGAGACCACCTAGGAAGACCAGGTGCTGTAGGCATAAATAAGAATTAAAAAAAAAAAAAAAAAACTGACAAGAGATGGATTATGCTAGCAAGAAGGAAGTGACAATCTTATGTAGCCTAATCGTGAAAATTACATCTCATCTCCTTTGTTATATTCTGTTGCTTAAAAGCAAGTCACAAGGCTAGCACATACTCAAGGCAACGGATTATCCAATGGTGTGAGTGCCGGGAGGGCAGGTTTCATTGAGAGCCATCTTGGTGTCTGCTTGCCACAGAGGCTCAGATCTATTATTTAGAATTTAAAGCAAACTGTAAGAGTGAGAAAGACTTATTAGAAGCATTTAAAGAGACACTCACCTCTTTTAGCTAGACAGAAGACAGATTTAAAGAAATAGTTACTGTCATAACTGCAAAAATGGCGGAACTTTAAAGAAAGCTATACTCTCAGCCTACACAAGTCCAAATTCAGGGCCATGGAAGAAAAAAGAGTGAATGCTGAGGTTTTGGATGGATGTCTGGGTAGCTGAGAACCTTAAATCTACATATTCCCCTGAACACTTCTGACTTGCAGCAATGGCTAGGAGGCCCTTTTCTCTTGTTGGAGAAGAGAGCCGTTTTCTTGAAGACTGTACAGATGTCTTAGATGTGGCAGGTTTCTTACAAGACAATCTTCAGGACCTGTCTGTACTTTTCTTCGTAGGAGTCAGATTGATCATCTGGGACATATCTCAGCACATCCCGACTAGGAAAGTGATGGCCTACAAAAGGGAGGAGTTAAGTTATACACCAAGAGCGTTCCAGGAGTTGGCTGACATGTAGGCCCAGAGAGTAACCTGAGAGTGAATCTGAAGATGGGCAGAATATCAAGCTGTACGGACAGTTTGCTGTTGTGGGTTACTCTGTTCTGACACAGAATTTACCTCCTTACCAAGACCCAGGATGATAGGTCTAATATAAGACTAAGACAGCTCTTACTTGCTTGAAAGTGTGATGGCCCACATGAAATGAAGTAGAGATCTCACCCCTTTAGTAATAGATGGTGGAGGAAGGAAGAAACAGATTTTTATTTTATTTTTATTTTTTAAAAAAGGGCATGCAAAAATAGGCTCATTATGTAACGCTAAAAATTCACATTTGACTAGGTTCCCCAGGAGGAGGGCTTAGAGATATTCTGTTTATTAACAGAATCTGCTGATGAGGGTGATTCAACAGTGGAGCAGTTTAGTCCTTCTCAGGCCAGGGATATCAGGCAATGCTGGGGTTCACGGAGACAATGGAGATGGTAGGGTTACAGATTAACAGATTAACGGGGCAGCACGTTAATTGTCAGAAGCAAAGTTGGTGCAATTACCACAAAAGGAATTAAGGTTGGAATTGTCTATTCTGCAGGTGGGGCGGAGGCTGTCACAAAGTATCTATGAAAATAGCCACCTTGTGTAAGGGCAAGACAAATGGGCAGCTAACAAAGATATTATTTGTACTTGTAATCAAATAAGACTTAAAAAATAGATGAGCGAAGGGCCAAGGTCAGGTAACACAATGGAAGTTCTTAATCTCTTGCTGTGTCTTCAGACGTGATCCAGTTCTCAGATCCAGAACACATTGATTGAAGGAGATGCTGGAAAGAAACTGCAACATTACAGCAAATGTGTGACGCCCCAGTCCTCTTCAAAAGGATAAGAACTATTTACTCAGAAAATGTACACTGGGGAAAGGGGTTACTCAGATCTTTCTGGGAGTGTTAGATATAAGATAGCATCATCATGGGCCTACTGTTAGAGTGGGATATTTAAATGTCAGGAAGTGAATGCAGTCCTGACCCAGATTTATTTCATGGTGTGTCTACTCCCTCTACATACTCACCCAGTTGTCATTTACCTAGTCCTTGAATGTATAATTGGAATGGACCTATTAGGAATTGGTAGAATTCTATCATTGCTTTCTTGATTAGCTATTGTATTAGCAAAGCCAAATGGAAGTCCTTGAAACTATCTCTTCTGCCAAGTTAGTAAATCAAAATCAGCGATCACATCCCGAGAGAAATTACACAACTTAGTACCATTTTCAGAGATTTAAAGGATGCATACTCCCATGTAATTCATCAATCCAGGTGATATACAAACTAGATGGATCATGGTGAATGATACTGGACTACTGCCAATTTATTCAAGGTATAGTTGCAACGGTGGCTACTATGCCATATGTGATATATGCACCAGGGCAAGTTAACTGGATACAAGGGTATGAGGTTATTATTCTGGCAAAAGCGTTATTTTCAATACCCACCAGGAAGGAGGATAAAGAAATAGCTTACAATGATATGGATGAACAACAGTGGTCAGGTCTTGTCTCAGTGCTCTGTTAATTCTCCAGCTCATTCAAAATATAGTCTGAAGAAATTGGAACTGTCTGGAGATTCTGCAGATCATTGTATTTGTGCACTATATGTGTAACATCATGTTGATTGGACAAAGGAACTCACTTTAAGACAAAAGACGCATGGCAGTGGGCATATAACCATGGTGTTCACTGGTCCTACTGCATAACTGGTCTTCTGGCATAACTAAGGCACCAGCTTGGAGATGATACCGTGTAAGGTTGGATACCATCTTTCAGGGTACAGTATACACTTTAAACCAATGGATATTATAGGGTGCTCTGTTCCCAACAGGTAGAATTCACGAGTCCAGGAACCAAAGGGTGGATATAACATGGATTCCACTCATCATCACTTCCAGTGACTCATTCCTACAACTTTAGGTTTTGTGAGTCTATAGGTCCTATGTCCCAATGGGAGGAAACTTCGACTAGGGGATATTGCAATAGTCTCAGTAAACTTAAAGCTATGACTATTACCAGATTATTTGGGGCTCCTCGTGCCAGTAGACTAGCTGTATCCCAAAAGTTATGATATTAGCAGGAAAATTGACCTGAGTATTGTACAGAGACAGCAATACTGCACCATATCAAGGCATGGAACAATGTGTTTGTCACTCAGGTAATTCATTGGGGCATATTCTCATGCCTTGTTTAATTGTAATGAACAAGTAGAGCAACCATGATCTGATTAGGGTATGGTAATCAGGTGCTCAGATGCCTTAGAGATGATCATGTGGTTTATCTCTCTAGGCAATATACCTAGACCTGCAGAAGTACTAGCCCCTGAGGGGAAGCATCTAAAAGGGGGATAAAGAAGAAAGACAAGGCCCATGTTATGGCCTTGAGGCAAACTGCAGCAGGAGAAGCTGTAGTTTGTTTTGCTAGCTTTTCTTTTATATATTAGCCCAGAAAATATGACTAACCAGAATCCTGGAGAAGTCGTGCCTCGATGGAATAAACTTAATGTAAGAAGCAAATGGGTCTGAGCAGCCCAAGGACGGGCAATGTTGGTTATATTTGGCACCTCTCCCATTCCCCAGCTGCTGTGAGTGTTTGGCTGCTAACAGCTCATGGCTGCACCCTTGCCAAAGATTTATCCTTAGCTGAACAGTGCCAACTCATCTGGGAATTACCCTCCCTGGGTATAAGAGGGGCTACCCCTGTGGTGTAATTTATGTTCCAGAGCTCCCCAAGGCACCAGGCTACCTAAAGCCAATTTTCAACTGAGACCACATACTCCTTGGCTATCTTCTTTGGCCTATTGTGCTTTTCTTCCTCCCTTTCTCTGGAGAGTACTCTGAATTATTAATAAACCATTTTCAGAAAAATTCAGTCTTGGGCCCTGCTTTAGTAATTCTGACTTAAGACACCATCTCCTACTATTAACTATATTGGAAAAATCTTTTTTCCATCTATATCACTCTGATCTAAATCTAATAGTATGAAAACTTGTATAGATTGAGGTTGCTAATTAAAATTTTTTTCCCCTCTAAAATCTCTCCTTAATTTATTACTATAGCCAAGGCTCTCATTTTCAATTCTCAGCTTCACTATAACTGATGACCATTTTTCTATTCTCGTTACTTTCTAAGCATTCTGCCCTACTGATGCCAACTACCTTTTAAAGCACAATTCTGATCATGTTACTTAAACATTTTGGTGACTTTCCACTATATCCTGGGTGAAGTCTCAACTCTTTAACAATATATAAGGCTTTGTTATTGGACCGCAATTATAGCAGACTCTTACTCTACCATACAGCCTGTACACCATGTACTGCAGTCAGACTCAACAACTTATTCCCTGAATGAGACATACTCTGGTTTGGATTCATGCTATTCTTTCTGCCTGGGATGACCCCTCCTCCCTCTTCTGCTTGTGAATGCCTGCTTATCTTTTAAGACACAATTTAGTTATTAACTTTTCTGTGAAACTATCATTAACCAACCCAGCACTTCCTTCCAAACTCCAGGAAGAATTAATAACATCCTTCTCTATGCTCTTATAGTACTAAGAATACACTTATGTTATGATGCTTGTTATATATATTTTTTGTAATTGTTTATTAAGACATCTTTCTCCCCCATATGACTTTGGTTGTTTCAAGAACCATGTGATTTATCTTTGCACCTGTAATAATTATCATAGTATTCTCAAATACACATATACACACAAACATACATATAAATTGAATGAAAAACTTGGCTTATTCTCAGATAGCTTCTCTGCCTGACAAGTTGTTAGTTCTATTCTAATTCAGTCATTTTTCTCTTATTTGAAATTTGGAAACTGAAGAGAGCCTTTGTGCAACTGTTTGTTCATTTACGTTAAATGGCTGGCCATACCTTCAGTCCTTCATTGTACAAGTTTGCATAACTTTAAATCCTACCCATTCACACACGCTCATGCTCTCTGTGATTTGTAACAAGCAGGGGCCGACAAACTTCCAAGTGGCAGTAGTGAGCCTGAAATTCAGCAAGGTGACATAAATGAAAGCCTGTATTGTATCCCTTTTTGAAGGTGGTAAGCAAGCAAGGGAAAACAGAGAAAACACTTTATGAGGAGTAAACCTTACTTACTTTATGACTTTTTTGCATTGTAGTCATTTTGGAGGACAGTTTAATTGGCCAGTGTTTTTGCCATCTAGACTTTCGGATAAGCAAAAAATGATGCTTTTTAAGTTTTCAACTTTTTCTTTAAGTTATTTCTTTATATTTTTGAGGGGTCAGATCATTGATTTAGCCTTAGGAAGTTCAAATGAAAATACTTAAGAAAAATCTCCAGTACATTATTAAAAATTATACTAGTAATCTTGGAATAAAAAAAAAAATACAGAAAGCAAAAACAATAATAAAAGCTCTGCTGTACAGGAACTCAATGGTTAATGTGGCATAAAACCTGGTTATGAGAATCTGACCTGCTAATCATATTCATTGTTTTTCTCCAGCCTCATTCTCAGCCTTGGCTCCTCCAGCTTCCTCTGACTTCAAAGGAAACTCTGCATGAAGAGAGAGGGCACACAATAGAAGAATTGGTCCGATTATCCCTCTCTGTTTGGAAATGGGTAAAGATTATAAATATGTGTTCTTCTTTCTGTGCTTTGGACTATATAATGTCAATTACCTCAAGCAAAACCCCCTACCCAGGCTAATGCACAGATTTAAATTATACCAAAATTGTAAAAATTTAGAAGCAAGATATTAACAATAATCCATAATGGTGTAGCATAATGTAATACATGTTTATTTTCATTGGTTTTAGCTGGTACAATAAAAAAGTAAATTAGTTGAGGGATTTAAATTTTATATTTATTATATCCTGACCTGGTTTTCTCTTCCTTCGCCACTTTATATTATGAATGAGGTAATTAAAGAGTCTACTTCTTCCCTTTTCTACTATAGCACGTGTTTGCCTCTTTAAACGTGTTTGTGTCTTTGTGGATGTGTGTGTGTGTACATTGGTTATTTTAACCAATGTTTGAAAATGAAGTTGTAATGCTAAAGGCCAAAGGAATGAATTAGCCTGATCTGGTAATTAAAAGACCATATATAAGTATTAACTAGGAACCACTGTTGGACTTTCCATTCTCAACCCAAAATGAAAAGGCAAGCATAATAATCCCAGATCAAGACTTACACCAAGTTAAACAAAATAATGACGGATCAGGGATTCTGGAAGGGCCAAAGTTTGAACAGGAGACCTTTAGCTCTTCTGCTTGCAAAGCATAATAATACTTCCTGTTTGTTTCATAAGTGCTTACGATTCTGTGAAAACGAAAACATTTATAACTTCCATGTGAGTGACTGAATGCTCTGGTCCCACTCTTCCAGTTTAGGATTATTTCCCACAGAAATGAATCAATACAATTTAAACTACCAAATAAAAATAACAACACAATCCCCAAGGAAGTCTTTATTAAAGACTTAAAGCTGTGTCCTATTAAGCTTCTGGAATATTTGGGATTGTCCAAACTAC